GCGCGCTTCACACTTTCCCCAGACGACCCCACGACATAATCCTACCGGTTTTGTTTATCCTTTAACTTTAGTGGACGACCTAGGGAGTTTGTTTCGAGTGAAAAAAACTGACTTCAAAGTTAAAATGCCAGCGAAATCTATGTACAGTTATAGATCGAATTGACAGTTTAGTAAAAAAACTGCAGCTCGTTGAGTGACTTTAGTTCGGGAGGGGGAGGGTTAACACAGGAACACAGTGTTTCTAGTCTTCCTTGAGTGTAATGCTTTCGAGTTTCTGTAACAGCGGAATGTTTGGCAGCGAATGGTTGCTCGCTGTCGGCTGAAGAATTAGCCGATTTCGGGCCGCAGATTTAGCACCACTATCCTCGACATGAGGCCTGGCAGGGTTCAAAGTCCACGAACGCCGTTAGGATGAAAGAGAGAGTCCACCGAGTCAGCCCCCGAAATTCGTGAAAGTTGTCCTGAATGTAGAAAACTAGTGGTAGCTCTTGTAAGCAAAGGATAGCTTTGCTGAGTTTTAATACTTCTGGGCAGCCTATTCCAGATTGCTATGGCATTTACTGAAATTCTGAGCTGTGTTTCACACTCTTCATGGATTCTCCCACCCTTGGATTCGAGCCTCACGGATGCTCCTTTCAGAAGAGCCCTTCTAGCCTGGCATGAATAAGGACATCGAAGCTTGGGCGCGGTCGTGCCCGAATTGCCAACGGAACAACGTCCAGCGCCAAAATAGTCCTCTGTGATGTCTTAACTCATTTTCATCGCCCCTTCGAGCCCGCCTCGATTCGTCGAGCCGTGTTTCATACTCTTCATGGACTTTCTCACACTGGGATTCGAGTCTAATTCATCCTGGGAAATACCGTCACTTTTTCTTGTTTGAACGGATTGTTTTGACGTAACGGATAGACTTCTGCATATGAACTACTGCGGAGCTTACTAATTTGACATTAAGGTTGTACGAAGTTTTTTGTTATTGACTTTATCAACCTACTGGGTTTTCTTATTGCAAAGGATTTTTAAGCTATCGTTCATTTGTTCGTGAGGGCGTTATTATTTCGTCAGGGGACTTGTAGTGACAGAGGTGGTGGCAGAAGATGAGGCACCGGAGGGGTGGAGGGCGTGAGGAGGGTTGTGTCTGTAGTGGTTGACGGTAAATGAGGGGGTCGCAGTAGGGAGTGTGGTGTTGACAGTTGAGGGTAACGGGGCATCGGATAGTTGAGCGTCCGTGGTGAAGGTGGTCGCAGAGTGCTGGAAACAGAAGGGACTACTGGATTGCTGGACACAGTAGATTTTGATTTCGTTGGAAGTATGGTGAACTGCGTCCGGAGATAGTCGACCATGCCGATACGAGTATGGAGGGTGCGTTGACAGCGAGGGCATGTTAGAAGAGCTTAGGTGTTAGCAGCGTTCGTCCGTTAGGTATGTGTCTTACGGGTCAACTTTTTCGCCTTGGTGGCAAAAATCCGAGTGGCTTCACAGGTAACTGCGTGCGTTTGCCATGTTCTTTTCTACGCAGATCGGTCTAACGCGAGTTAAGTTGAGAGCCCTTCATGGAGTTTTTGAAATGTCCCTGGAGAGGCTATTTGTACCCCGTGGCAGCGAGCACCTACAGCGACATAACCTAGAACAGTCGTTTGTCATCTATTCGCACCAGGTGGCCTCTCTATCGCAGTTAAATTTACTTGGGCATGGCGTGGATGCTGGAGCTCTATGTTCTCACCAGTACCGCCAGGTCTAGGCTCATATCCTGCCTTAACTAACAGTTTTGACGTAAAGGGTAGAATTCTGCATATGAACAAATGCAGAGCTTTGGCCGTAATTCTATCGACGTGAGGCGAAATATCTAGTTTATTGGTGTAGCTTAAACCTACGTCCTTGATGTTGGAACTTTCAGTGATTGGTCAACCTTGAAAAATAACATGTTGTGGCAGCTGTTCAGGCCCAAAGCACATGTATCGGCATTTAGAAGGTGAGAAATCCATCTGCCATGTTGAGCTCTACGCAGAAAGAGCGTTCAAATCAGACTGAATTTGTTCTAGGCATCTCGCAGTCGAAGACTAAGAGAAGGAGTTTACACACTTAAGGTTATCCACATAAATATAAGATTGATCGTTTTTAATACTCAATGAAATATCATTTATGCAAAGCAAGACCAACAGAGGGCTTAGCACAATACTTTGAAGGACACCACTCAGAATTTCGGGAGCAGTAGGGTATGAAGACCCCACTAAGACCTTTCGTTCTCGATTAGAAAGAAAAGATCTGATAAAGTCAAGAGGACTACGAAATCCTATAGCCTCTAGTTTGGCTAGGAGCCTCCTATGAAGAACTATGTCGAATACTTTACTAAGATCAAAATAGATAACTACCACATATAAGTAAGTAGGTTTAGAAAAGACATGTGGCATGTTTCACAAGATCGGTCCGATAAAATGTCATGCCGTGTAGAGCTGAGAATGTTATTGCTTATGCAAAAATCTGTAATTTTGTTGGCAATTAGTTTTTCAAAGAGTTTAGACAGAGAGGGCGTTTTATGAAAACCGCGATAATTGTGCATACCTGTAGTGTCCAAGCAGTCAGCAGACAATCTCAACAAGAGTTCCTTTAGGAAAAAGCAGTTTATTGAGATTGCGGATGGACGGGA